GCAACAAGAAAGGCTCCTCGGCCCCCAATCCTGAGAAAAAGACAATAGTAGACACAGCACCAATAGATATAAAGCGCTATCTCCAGAGCCTCATAGACAAGTTCAGGAATGAAGTTATTAATAACCTGAAGCTAGAGATAAGCAGAATAGTTAGAGAAATGCTAAGCACCACCCAAGAAAAAACAGATGGTAGAATGGAAGAACAGAAAAAGAGGGGAGAATTGTTTGATGGAGAAAATAGAGAAAGCATAGAATATGTGAAGCAGGTTCAAAGAGATTACCAGGAAACTAAAAACTCTATCGAAAACTGGCATAACAGCTTAAAAGAAACTAAGGACAGATTATCTGAACTGGAGGGCAGATTTGTAATATGGGAGAATGAAATGAAAAACTTCTTAAAAATAACAAACAAACAAACAGCAATAATACAAAGACTAGAAGATGATAAGAGGATCTGTAACTTAAGAATTAAGAACATAAAAGAAGTAGGGACACAAACAAATGAACTACAAAAGCTACTCACAGAAATAATCCAGGAGAATTTTCCTAATTTAGCAAAAGGTAAAGATACTCAAGTTGTATGAAGCATACAGGACCCCAGCCACCTACAACCCAAACAGAGCAACACCCAGGCATATAATAATTAAAATTCCAGAAATCCAATACAAGAACAGAATGTTAAAAGCCGTCAGAGACAAGAAACAGATCACTTACAAGGGAACACCCATCAGAATTACAGCAGATTTCTCGGCACAAACCACCAAATCACGAAGAGCATGGGGGGAAATAATTCAAGCTTTGAAAGATAATAATCTCCAGCCAAGATTGAGATATCCTGCACAACTATCCCTGGAAATTGATGGAAAAACAAGGTGCTTCCAGGATAAAGAGGAACTAGGGGAATATGCAACCACCAATTCAACTCTACAGAGAATACTGCAGGATATTCTAAAAAAGAAAAATACGAAGAATCCAGAAATAGTGGCAGAGAGGCCACGATGAATGGAGCAGAAAACAAAATGAAGAAGACAAACTGACAACTAATGACAAAAAAGGGCTCAATAGAAATGAGGCAGAGAAGATTGGATGATAGGAACAGCTATTTTGGAGAAAATGACATCTTAATAGGTAATACTGATTTAGTATCATCTTGTTTTGAAGTCTCATCAAGCTTTTGTTCTTCTGTCTCCATTGGTCTAAACAGGTGGTATCTTATTGGATTTTATTATGTATGATAATATAAGCAAAAACTTTTATAGACAAGGAGATTATACAGAAACCATTGTTCATCTTCTGTTAGTTGACTCTAAATACCCTGTAATGCTGTCATTCTCTTAAATGGTTTTACATTGTTTTGATATATTTGATGCGTATACGAAGTTATACTCAAAGATTTCAAGGAAGGAAACAATATGATAACTACTTTTATGTAGGGATTATCTTGTGGTAAAACACTATTTTGCTTAAATGGTTATGTTTTGATCTGTGCTGTTTTGCTGTTATGCCCTCTTTTATCTCAATCTCCATTTTATTATTTATTTTTATTTTTATCCTTTTAATTAAGGGAAAAATAAATAAATAAATAGCAGGATATATTATCGTAACCCACTTTGACTTTCCATTAACTTGATTTAAAGCCCTTTATTGCTCTCACCATCTTGTTTTGACTGATGTTCCTCTATTCTGTTTTGCTTGATAGTACCAGGTTCGAAAGTTTAGGCAACAGCTGTTAAGATAGTGGGATTCATTATGACGCCCATTCTGGTTGACTATTAACTACTTTTGAAGACCTATAATGTCTCCAATGTTTTGGTTTTGTTGGTTTTGTTCTTTACTGTTTTGTTCAATTTTATTATAACTGATGATATAGGCAATTCTATTAGAGATAGTGGGAGGCATTATGGTAACCATTATTGATCACCTTGTATTACGCTTTTACATTATCTATTATGTCCACCCTTTTGATTTGACTGACTCTGTTCTGTTATGTCACATTTGGTTCTACTCTCTTCCAAAAAAGTAGTAAGAACTGTGGGAGCAACAAAACCCAAAATGTGTAATTGTCATTGTACAAAAGAGAGGAAAAGAAAGTGCTCTAAATGATATAACTGCATGTATATTTAAGTGTATAAGATAGATAATGATATTACTGAGTTTTGTTGGATCATTGAACAGAACTGTTTGCAGTCTCACTGTTGGAATGTCCACTTTATAAGCTTTAATTTTTGTAACTTGCACAATTATTTCTAAGATGACAATATGTATTCCATTAACTAGTGATTTCCTACTGTTTATTTTTTTCTCTAAATCTGTATAACTTGTACCCTTTCTCTGCTTTTTTTTCTTTTTCTCCTTAAATAAAATTAAAAAAAAAACTAATTCTGTTAACTTAGAGCAGAAGGTAACAGACAAACAAATGCAAGTTTTCTGTACTTGACAATTATAGGCAACCAAAGAAACGAAGTACTATAATGAATTCCCACGGCCAGAATGGCACTAAGATTAAATTGCAGTGCCCGCTCGCCTCCACAAATGGGATGGCAGGAGGATGACAGTGATGTGGGGTGAATCTGCTCTGCTTGGAAGAAACTGAAAGGCATTCTCAAGTTGATTCCAGTTACCTATGAAAGCCTCAAGATCACCCATTTTTTAGCTGAGTAATATTCCATTGCATAAAAATAGCACCTTTTTCATTCGTTCTGCAGTTAATGGCATTTTTGTTGTTTCCAAGACTTAGCTATTACAAATTGTGCTGCTATGAACATGGGTGCACATAGATTTCTGTGACATGACCTTTCAATTTTTCTGGGAAAATATCCAGAAGGTAATAGCTGGAGTGAGTGGGACTTTCAGTCATATATATGAAACTGGAAGGCAGGTGCATCCCAGAAAGGAACAGGACGCAACTCAAAACAGGCTCATGCCATGTGTCTAGCCTTTGCTGTTCTTATCTGGGGATACAGAGTGTGTATGCCTGCTGTCCCTCTGAGGGTATGGCTTGACACAGGTTCCCTGGCTCTGAGCAAATCCACATCTGCTCAGAGCTGGCTCCAGCCTGGTGCCTGCATTTTGCTGCATTCCTACAGCTTTTCAGAGCTTGTGTGTCCCCACAGGGTGACCCTCCCACCTTTCCTGACCTCCCAGCTTGAGGGGCAAGGGTGAATGTGGGTGGTCATGACCAGAAAGATGGGAAACAGCAAAATAGTCCCGTAATCCCTAGTTCCTCAGTCCTCCTGGAAAGGCTCAGGGTCACAGTCTGCATCCCACAGCAGCTGAAGATTTCTCATTCCCAAGGATACTGGCCAGGCATGTTAGCCACTCCTTAGGGATTCTGCAGGTCAGAGAGCAGAGTCCCTAGCTGTTTACTTAATTTGAGGGCATCCAGTTCATAAGGGAATGTCTGGAAACACTGGCCAAGCAAGACACTTGCATTGAAAAGGATGCTTTATTTAGCTTGCTTCATGATAAAGAAAGGCTGAGATTCATACTGTAACTGAAAACTGATTTGGAAAAGATCAGAAAAGAAATGCTGTTTAGAGAAAGTTCTGCTACTTCCAGTGTTTGGCCCACAGCCGCATGAGGGACTGTAGACTGTGACATTAACTTGGCCCCCACCTCTCTCCACTACCACCTCGGCTCACCTTATCATATACTTGTGCCAAGAGAAACTAAGTCAGGGTGCTCCCAGGTGCTCAGTTCTGTGCCCTCATTTCTTCCATCACCTGGGGGTGCCTGTGTACACAGGGCCAGTGTCTGAGTGCATTCTCCTGGCTTCACAGCTTAGTGCTCCGGGGATAGCCACTGGTGCTGCCGGTCCTCCCCAGTGTGAGGGCTGCCACGGCCAGGACCAAGGCTAGGAAGACTCCTGCAGCAACGGCAGTGCTGTGATAGCTCCCCTGAGAGCTGCCCGGCTCCTCCATTTTCAATACCACCAGGTCTGGGAGAAGAGGACACCGAGAAAAGAGTTGGGACCAGGACAGAACCCAGAAGAAGAGAGGTGGGAAGACAAATAAGAGCCGTTGTCCCCATCAGATGAACTATTTGGTGGAATATATAAAGCGATGGGAGAGGGACATGACCAAAGGGACACTGAGGTCATATCCCAAAGGGCAGCTAACTATTGGGTGGGAGAGCTTTGTTTCACCTTGTCTTGTTGCCTAGTGAACAAAGGAAGGTTTTGAGTGGGAACTCTGAGCTGGACTTTAGGGGAACAATTCTGGCCTGAGGTTCCAATGGATGGGAGAGAGAATTAGGACATTTTAGATCAGTTGGGAAATGATTACAAGACTCCCAGGGAAGAAATTAGCCAAGACCTGAGCTACAGAGGGGGCTATAGGAAATAAAGGGAGAGGAGAGAAGGTAACATGGTTACTTCCTTCTCCTGTGCTTTTGTCCTTCTCTCCAGAGCTCCGACACTATCAGATGGAGCATGCACTAGGTCTACTCTAACTGCACCTCGTTCCACTGGAGTGCAAGCTCCCCAAGGGCAGAGATTTTGATTTGCATCTTTTTATTTGTTTCCTGGCACACCATAGGCATTTGATAAATGTTCATTGAATGAATAACAAAGGAAACGATGGAAAATCAACTGACCAAAGAGACATAATACTGGGCATGAAGGGAGGGAGCTGTAAAGATGCCTGAGGCAAGCTGTAAAATATGTCTGATGCCCTGACCAAGGGGAGGGCTTGTGGTCACTACTGCCATCCCATCCCTGTCCCATTAACCATGTTACCATAGGTATAGACCTGGCCACAACCTGGGCCAGGAATCTTATGCATCGCCCTGAGAAGCCTGAGATTACTTCCTCATCCTCACACACATCCACACATGCATTCTCATGGCCTGCCTGATGCTGATGTCCCTACACCTGGTGTTATCACTTGGTGTCATCATGGTGAGGAATAATAGCATCATGAATGTTGTTAATATGGGTGACAGTGCCAATAATAACAAGCTATTGTTCATAAAGTACCCAATGACATACACCACTCTGGGGTCAAGGCTGTTTAATACTACTTTATTTAACTCTCTCAACAGTTATAACCGGTAATTATTAGAAATTTCATTTTAAGCATGAGAAGCATGTGTTCCGGGAGTTCAGGACCCAGAGGATAAAGCATCAGGTCTGTATGCTTTCTGGGTCAAACTCTCTGCCCAAGTATAGCACAGTTTGCTGGCACATTTGGGTTGTAACATAACACCAATAGAAGCATCTGAATTCCATGTGTGTCATGGGCCTGGGCTTCAGTGGGCTGTAGGGTCATCCGAGGATGGCCACCTACCCGGGCTCTTCTTCCCTTCAGGGGGGTTGCGCTGCTGGATGGGTCCCAAAACGACATCCACTTTTTCCTGGTAGGAGCCCACGTCTCTCTTGGACCTCACAATACAGCCTCTGTAGCAACGGGAAGAGTAGTCGTAGGCTCTGCACACCACCAGTTTACACTGCAGGTACACTGAAGGGAAGCGGTTCAGGAAGTGGAAGGAATTGAATTTGAAACGAACAATGCGGGGAGACCGGTGGGTGTACACTTGAAAGGTTTCATCCTTTACGCATCTGGAAGAAAAGAGAAATAACCTGTTAGTTCTCGCCAAACCACTGAATTACAATTCGGTAGTACCAGGCGCGGAACTCCACAGCCCATCCGGCTGCCTAGTCTCCCAAGCCACCCTCACTTCCTTTCTGAAGACCTGGCTGATCATGCACTCATCCCCAGCAGATTTGGTGCATCATCGCAGCATCTAATAGCAAGTCCTCTTGGGGTTTCCAGGCAGACAAGTAGGCCTCATATAGCATAGAGAGTTAGGGTTTAAGTAAGGGTGTACTTGAAGGCCACAAGTAAGCCAACAGAGTCAGAGAAGTGGTTCAAGTTTGCAGCCTAGGAGCAGGCCAAAGACAGGAGAGGAAAGAATATAATTTCTCATTCCATTTCCTGGTTGTAGATCTGGGTAAAGTGATATTTGAGTACATGTAAGGCAATTTTAGTGTTCTCCAGCTTGCCTGGCTGTCCTTCTCCCAGGGCCTCTTTCCCCTGAGCTCCTGGGCCTCTCCTGAGCCCTATGTAGGTATATTTTCCACAATGACCTGAGGACCATGTAGGCCTCCTACTCCAATATCTAAGCACTTCCTTATCCCCTTGGTAGAAAGTTTTCCCCACTCCCTTATCCTAGTCCTAGCTGGTGACAGAAAGAAAATAATTTAAGAACCTGCTTCAGGAATTTTAGTAGATATGAATGAGGATACATTTCCCATGATAAACTATGTGCAGTTATAATGGTGGGACTTTGAATGACAGGGCAAGAGAAGAGTAGGGTGAGCTGACCTGGGATCACAGGGCTGGAATGACTCAAGGGTTAATGGCCTTGGTCCCAGGACAGCCTAGCTGTCCCAGAAACTTGGCCTAGGTCTGTTCACCCTCCTTGCTCTGGCTTTCAAAGCTTACTTCCTGCCTCTACTTTTACCTCAGCTTTTCTCAAATACTTAGATTTCTTTGTTTTTCCACAAAAGCCCTTGTAGTGGTCAAGGAGTGAAAGGAGAAACCCAGAGGCTCATTTAGGGGTAGGGCATTTGTGAAACAGGCCAGGGAGCTCTGCATCACCAGCATCTTTAAGTAGCAGCTCTCGCTGGATTTCTCTCCTTCACACGCAGTTAGTTCCCCCTCGTTCTATAAAATTGCATCACCGTATAGGTGGCAGAATGTCACCTTTAGAAAAGAATCCTTTGAAAGGACATTAAAATGCTCACTCATTTGCATTCATTTCAATCATTTTGTATTCACTCAAATCCCAGCCCCTTACTATACAGAGAGGGGATCCAGGTAAGCTTTCTCTCTGTCTTTGTTACTGAGGGTCAGCGCTAGTTGAACCAAATGTGTAGATGCTGCTTTTTGTATCTTGGGGAGGTGTGAAATGTAATCCTTACCCTTCATTCCTAGCAGCATACCTCAATTTCTCAAAGGAGGCAATGGCTACTAAGATAGTAAAGGCTGGATGGCAAATCAAGCAGTAAATGCCACCACCAACAGAGAGTACAGAGTGGAGATTGGACTTCTACCCCTGGCTTCCCAAGACATCTTCAGTGGGGAGTTTTACCTACCTCTGCAGGGTGCCTCATCTGGGAAGCTGGAGCAGGGAAAAACAGTTAGGGACATTGGCCTGGCCCCTGAACTACCTGAGCTAAAAGCTTTCCAGGCCCATGGAAGTCACAAAGAGCTCCTCGCTGCAATGATCCTGTAGACCATCTGCTGGGTGAGCTTAGTGTCCATACACTCTTTTTCTTGTAATATGAAAGTCTTATAGTGTGGGTATCACTATCATAATTGACAGGTGGGGAAACTGGCCCAAAGAAGTATGGGTTTCAACCTTGTTCTGCTCCCAAAGCAACGCTTTTCCCATTATACACAGGTAGTTTTAATCACAAGATAGAGTTTGGTAGCCTAGAGTCTAATCACCGTTCACAGCCAACCTATTAAATGACCACTGGTGAGTCATAACATTTCTCCCGCATGTTAACTGGAGATGATGAAAATCCTGCTCCTCTAACCATTGATGTTGTCCAGGACACAGCAAAAAAGGTTCTCCAAAGGTAAAAGCCACAGGACATTACTGTACCTAGAAAGGGATCTAGCTGCATTTACGTTCCTGAGAGCTTCAGTTAACTAAAATCTGCACTCTAAGGCTTATGAGCTACTTAAGTTTGAATTATCAGGCAGAGGCTTCAACCTATCCCATAAAAGCAATCCTTACCCTCCCCGGATGAGATCGTAAGTCAAAGATGAGAAGTCATTGGGGTTCGGTGAAGCCACACAAGTGTCCACAAATAAGGCCAGGGAGGCATCAGAATGGAGGATTTCAGCCTGAAGATACAAATTCTGATCCAGGTCCACATAATATGGTCTGTAGGTCACAGGATATAAGAAGGAAGAGGATGTATAGAAAGAAACGTTCACGTAGTAATTGCCATATTGGACTTCCTGGACCTCAATGGTGTCGTTAGTAATGTACATGGTATTGACCCAGGTGTTCTGGAGCATCTTGCAGCTGATGTGAATATTGAGGTCTTTTTTCCTTTTGATGATGCCATTTGAAACAGCTGCTTTGAGGAAGTTGGAATAGCTGATGGTATCATTATCCACCTAGGAGTAGCAGGCATGAGCAGAGTGAGGCACATTTCATCTGGTAAGAGAATTTCATTGCTGACTTGATTTATAATAAGAAGGAAATAACTTCACAGACTTCAGAATGTTCCCAGAACCACCCACAGATGGGCAATGCATGCTCCTATTGCTACTATTATCTAGCCTGGTGTCCAGATCAACTGGTAGGACTTCCTCCCCAATTTCCTGCACCACATGATGGGAAACATGGTGTGGACCGGTGGTTGCCTTCCTCATTGGCCAGATTGCTGTGTCTGGATGATCTCTTGACCTACCATGAGTTTTGGACTTCAAGGCTGAGAATAGAATGGTCTGTTTCATTCTCATTATGGCTGGGGGTCACAGGGGAGGAGGTCACATATTTCTCAGGGTGGGGTCTGGTGAGCTCAGTGTTAACTACTTTGTGTTTTGTTTGACTGCTAACTGCTGCAGCTTGGTGACTGACACTGTTGGAGTTGGAAGCCATAGAGATCCAGAGTCATACTAACAGTAAGCCTTGATCTCTGGGGTTAGGACAGTTGTGTGGGTCACAGCACCCTGGGCCTTTCCTGTCCCACTTCCCTGTACCACAGGGCCATTTGCTACTATGCCTTTCACTAACCAGCAAATTTCTAAGAATCTTGGCCCCTCATGGCATTTGATATGCTTTATACCTCTTGAAAGTGACTTTTCCAAGGATGGGAGCCCTACACCTGGGAGCTGTGGCCATCTTACAGGAAAGACGATATCTAAATATTCTCTCTTAAGGGCTTGCACAGTGTCATCAATAGCACTGGTAGCATCTATAAGTATTAATGGAATGAATGAAAGGAACAGAGGCCAGAAGCCGTGTGGAAGTGCTATAAGAGCTGAGGACAAGGCAGGGGAGCTTCGAGCACATCAGGACAAGTCTTTCTGGAAGGTTCATGATTGTGATCACCCAGCTCTGGCCCGAGAGTGTCATTGTCCCTCTTGGGACCCTGGGATTTCTCCTCCCCTCAAGTGCTATGATGATCAGAAGCAAACCACTCCCAGACCCACATGCTTTGATTCCAGCATGCCACAAGAATGAATAGGAAGATAACATCATTAGCGACCCAAACAGAAGTCCTAACATGTAAGGCAGTCTTAATCTTTAAATGAAAAATAAAAAGGAATATAAAGCTTTCTGTTTTAGTCATATGCACTGTCAAAGGCAAAATTCTATTGCTGGCTGTTAGGACACTGGACACGATTGCTCCTGAAGCAGTGCTCACTCTTGGTGGACTGACTCCCAGGGGCTAAATTCATGACAAACTAGGACCCACCATGATTAGTTTACAGTATGAAATATAAAGGCAGGCAGAACAAACCACTTGCAGGGCATGACTCTTCCCTGCAAGTAAGTCTACCTGACCCACCAAGTTCCTCTTCAGAGGAGACCTGTTACATATGAGATCTGATTAAGAGAGCTGGGCAACCATGTGGCCACTGTAGTTCCTCAGACACAGGCATTCATAGCCACTGAGTCCATCTAGTTGGTGAAGTGAGTGTCCTCTCCCTTTCTTTTTCTTGTGGGTTGAGAGGCCAGGAACAAGTTGGCCAGGTAGTGAGTAGCATCACTTTGGCACCTAGCACAGAGACTGCCACATAAGAAGTGGTCACTCTATTTCTGGTGCAGGGATGCGACTCTGGCTGACCTTGTATGTTCCACATATGGTGTACATTGTGAGCATTTCATACAATGAACAGCCTGCATTCATAAACCAAGTAAAAGTAGTATCATTTTTTGGTTTTTTGGTCTTTAACACAATATCTTGAAATGGTTATTTTGTTGTCAGGCAAAATTCAGAATTTTGAACGGCCAATTTAAAATTAAATACACCTGGGATGAATGTACTGTACTGTCCATGGTCTGACTATGTAATCACTACCACAGAAGATTTTCATTGTCCTATAGCTTCTACCTGCTCTTGGCAGCCACCCCTCCAGCCTGGTGACAAACAGCCATGGAAAAATCTTTATGTAACTGCCATTTATTAATATAAATGAAGCCACAGAGCATGGCGACTTTCTCTCAGCATAAATTTCTTGAGATTCTCAAATTCTGCTGTCAGCCCTATCCCTTCACGGCTGACTGGCCTTGGGCAACATGCCTGGTCTCTCTCAGCTCCCTTTCCCTTTTTTTTTTACTGGGGATGGAACTCATGACCTCATCCTTACCAGGCAAGCACCTGAGCCATTGAGCTAAATCTCCGGCCCAATTTTCCCATTTTCAAAGCAAAGATGACTATAGTTACACACTTGAGAAATCGGGGGAGTGGGATTTGTAGT